TGTTTTGAGCCAGCCAAGACACAGCGCATGACTCTACATCGCAAGCACGTTCCCCCCTGCACTCCACCAGTCACCTTTGGAGGTGAAGCACTCCAGAAGACAGATACCCTGAAGCTGCTGGGAGTCATGCTCGACCCTACTCTCTCCTACAGAGCGCACACTCGCAGTGTTGCACTGCGCGCCTCCCAAAGGCTGGGTTTCCTACGAAAGGCAGCACCCATCCTGGACGACCATGGTCGAGTGACGGTCTACAAGGGATTCGTGCGACCCCTACTTGAATATGCCCCACTGGCCTGGTCGAGCGCAGCCGCAACTAACATGGCCCAGCTGGACAAGGTTCAGCAACGTGCCCTGCATTTCCTGGGACCTGGAACCATCCTCCAAAGTCTTCAGCTTCGTCGGATGGTGGCAGCCCTGTCATACTTGTTCAAGCTGCACTACTTTCCAGGGCCTCCCCAGGTAAAGGCCATGCTGCCACCAACCAAGCCCCCTGCCGTAGCTAGCATGTGCACACGGCAAAAACGTCAGACGCACCATGCCTTTCAGCTGAAGTGGACACCCCCTCGCACAGCCCCTGACTACCTCCTGCGATCCTTCCCCTTCTTCGCCATCACACCCTGGAACAACCTGCCTGCGGACCTCCTGCTTCACGAGCCTCATTCAAGACGCCTCCAAACCTTCAAGGTCAACGTATGTAAGGATCTAATCCGAAAGAGATGGCTGTGGTCCACACAGTACCTGTGACGATGATATTGAGATTTGAGACCCATTTAGTATTTACCTCTCTACTACTACTTGCTTGTTATGATTATTGTTCTCTCTCTTCATTTTCCCTTCTGGTTTAGTCATTACACGTATTTATATTATTTGGTGCAATACTAGCGCCCCTTTCTCGCACCAAATTTTATTATTTTTGCTACCTGACCATGCAACCCCCCCCCCTTTTTTTCGATGCCAGGTTGCAACGCTAACGCCGAGACCCCTGGTCGGTCGAGTTGCTCCCTGTACATCGGCACGTCGTCCCTACATCCCCTGTGTCCTGTCTTGTGTTTGTCTCCACATGTCTCTTTGTAGGGCTGTGTTCCCAATAAAAAAAAATAAAAAAAATGCATTGTCATGACTATTGTTACCCCTTTATTGGCTGGCCTATACATTAATCGAACACCGATGTTCGATGGGGTAGGCAGTTTGAAATTATCGTAACTTGGTCAAATCTTGGTCTTTCGGAGAGATCGAAATATGTAGGTCGAAGAGAAAACTTTCCAAAGCGATACAAAGAGCGGTTCGTGAGTTATAGCACTCGTAATATTGGTCCCGGGAAATTTGGACTCAGAGTGCGATGCGTGGGTCAACGGTCGGGATTTTCCCTGCTTGCGTCACCTGTTGACAAGGCTGGTCTCGTCATTATCCTGTAACAGTCGACTAGTCGCATTCTTTGTTGCCGTGGGACTTAGCTCGTGCAGATTTTCACTCCACTCACCCCCCCCCCCCCCCTTCTGTCCTACCCAACCATGAACCCTTCAAGTTGGAAGGTGGCGGGTTTGCGCACTGGAGATGTTTTAGCTAAAAGCTAAGTCTCAGGTCGTTGAATGTCTCAGTAACCTGTCAGTTTTGTGCCCTGTTTACGCATTTTCTGACTGCTTAGTATCTTGTTGCAGTCGTGGGTAGTTGCTTCATAACTCTTTCCTTGTGTTTTCTTCTTCTATTTGCCTTTCTTTTTCTTTTTTCAAACTTCTGCCAGTATAGTAACTACAGTATAGTCACTTCGTCTTGGGGGTAAGAGATGGAGAAGTTGCCTTACAGGGTTGGTGAGCCCGCCTTTCGGCACGGGAGAATACAGCCTACTCGAATCTCACGTCTTGATTGACTCCGGATTGCCATGCAGAGCGCACAAGAAGTCCATCGAACCTTTCACTCGGCAAACCTGCAAGAAAGCACCAATCCCTGCTCAAGATCCTATGGTCGGTCAAGTTGCCCCTGCCTCTCCCCCACTCCTGCCATTCCATATGTCTCATCGCTGCCTCGCTGCTTTGAGCCCTCACATGGTGTGTGGTGATTTTGTAAAAATAAAATAAAAATAAAAATAAACACAGTGCTCCGGGAACTCGCCCCTCAGTCAGTCCAGTGAGATTTAAAGGGGAAGTATACCCTAAAATCAAATTTTCACCAGTTGTAGTCTTCTGGGTGCTGAGTCGAATGGTCTTGGTCCGAGGAAGCTGCGACGCTCCCTTCCTACTTGAATCCCAATCGAACTCGCGCACTTCCACCGAAACTGGGTGACTGCGCCCTACTAGATGGGGATTTGTATGCAAAATGTCACTAAAAGCGCCATTTCGTTCTTATAAAAGCACGGATGACCGCGATTGGCCCATATGTTGTAGTCTTTTGGACGCTGAGTCGACTGGTTTTGGTCCGAAAAGGCTGCGATGCAGCGTTCCTCCTTTATTCCCAATCGAACATGGTTGAACAAGCGGTCACGTGCTCCTGGGTGCCCAAATCACCTGGTCACCGCGCCAGCAGGCGACAACTTTCACACCAAGGTTCAACTCGAGTTCAACTCGAGTGACAGGACTGCACCCAAAAAAGGTCAAACAGGCTAGTAAGTTGTACCCTGCAGGCACGGTGACCAGCTGACTGGTGTACGCAGGAGCACGTGACCGCTTCTTCAACCATGTTCGATTGGGAATAAAGGAGGAACGCTGCATCGCAGCCTTTTCGGACCAAAACCAGTCGACTCAGCGTCCAAAAGACTACAACATATGGGCCAATCGCGGTCATCCGTGCTTTTATAAGAACGAAATGGCGCTTTTAGTGACATTTTGCATACAAATCCCCATCTAGTAGGGCGCAGTCACCCAGTTTCGGTGGAAGTGCGCGAGTTCGATTGGGATTCAAGTAGGAAGGGAGCGCCGCAGCTTCCTCGGACCAAGACCATTCGACTCAGCACCCAGAAGACTACAACTGGTGAAAATTTGATTTTAGGGTATACTTCCCCTTTAAGTCGGCAGGAAAAGCACGAGCTCCTACGTAGGAAACGACACACAATAACATATTTCTCCAGACGTTTCGTTGTTCTGAACAACATCGTCAGTGGATAAAGAAAGTACACAGTGTAGAACAATACCGGTATTGTACTACTGTACATGTACTCCCTGGTTTTACCAGATTTTACCAGGGTTTTACTAGTGGCCTGGCACGAGGGAAACATGGATGCAGTGAATGGGATTTCGGTCTTTGACCACTTTGTGGTGGGTCTGATCTACTCACCTCCCACCGCTTAGGAGCTGCATCTGCGCCTTGATCCAAGAGGGTGGTGGCGTTCCTGCGGATGCGGAAAACTGGGCCTTTGGCCGAGTCTCACGCGAACCGTGAATTTTTATTATTATTTTTTACTAGGGTCCAGGGTTTTACCAGGGAGTAGAACAATACCGGTATTGTACTACATGTACTCCCTGGTTTTACCCTGGCTTTACCCTGGTTTTACCAGATTTTACCAGGGTTTTACCAGTTTACCAGGGAGTAGTACAATACTACTCCCTGGTGAAAACATTCAATACGAACAGAACCTGAGACGAGTAAGTATGCGGTACAGCTCAGTACGGGAACGTGCGATACTGTAGGAAGGTCATGAGAAGAGTGTGGAAAAAAGGAGCTAAACAGATGCGCGCCCATGTGTGTGTGTGTTTTGTGGATGTGTGTGTGTGTGTGGGAGTTTGTGTGTATGTATGTGTATGTGTGTGCGTGAGTGTGTGTGTGTGTGTGTGTGTGTGTGTGTGTGTGTGTGTGTATGGTGTGTGTATGCGAGTGTGTGTGTGTGGAGGGTAGCAGTAATGGTGAAAGGTGTCGGGAGTAGGCTCCGGCGGATTATGTTCGCAAAATCATGGAAATGTGCTTCATGAATCATGGTTGCTTTCTCTTCCCCCATTCATCTACACCAGGAGTAGAATATTGATGACTGTGATGAGCAGTCACTCATGACAGTTATAATAATATTATCGATTTTATCTTTCTCATGTGCAAGTAAGAGATCTATACATTCTACTAAAAATTCGAATCCAGCTAACTCTCTCAAGGAGTACTGATCCTGATGAATGTGTAATCCAGTAGCATTATGAATGAGTAGTGTACCTACACCAACCCTTTGAGAACAAGAGTACTATTATGCATTGTTGAAGTGAAGTCACACACACACACACACACACACACACACACACACACACACACACACACACACACACACACACACACACACACACACGTGCGAACACACAATCACATGCACACGCACAATGCAGGTTGTGTGGTATACAGCCACTTGGCCAGCTCAACAGTACAGAGACACGCGTTAGGCATTGCTTGTAGTCACGCACACGCAGCATGCACATGGCAGGTGTGTGTAGCACCTGCCGCTGCGCCAGCTAGACAGGACAACAGCACAGATACACGTAAACGTACAAGTAACTTTCATAAATGGCAGGGGGAGGTGGGGGGGGGGGGGGTGCAGTACCCAGCCCCTGTGCCAGCTCAACAGCACGAAGACACATAAACGTTACTTTCATAAAATGGCAGCGGGGGGGGGGGGGGGCTGTACCCAGCCCCTGTGCCAGAACAACAGCACAGAGAACTATAGTCATAAACATACACACACAGGTACTATAAGGTCAACGATGCTGGGTACTGCTAGCAATTGGCCAGCATACTATGTATAGTTTTGAACTATGTACCCCTTCAATGACTACCAGCTTGATTGTGTTTTTTTTCCGTAATGGTTCTGCGGTATTGCTTGAGGTCTTTGGTCCATTTCCATTGTTTATTCGCCTGCAAGAGAGGTTTGTCACAGATCTTCTTTAAAGGTACTGCTAGCAGTGCAGCAGCAACTAGACATGCATATATGACATTGTATGCATGCTGCACACTTCAATGTACACACTAGGTGTGCACGAGGCAAAGATCTCTCAGAGGTGAGCTCATGTGTGTGTGGGTGGGTGCGGGGGGGGGGGGGGGGAGGAGGGAGAGGGGGGAGGAGGACTGCTAACGGTGTGGGTCCGCCATCCTTGCCCAGTTTCAGGAAAAAGCAGCAGGCACTCAATATGACAGGGTAAAGGCCGATCTGAAGGCACCAGCGCCAGGGTTGGTACGCACCGTTCCGGATCAGGGTATGCGATCCCTGATTTAGGGCTGTATGACTCCAGTTCAGGGTATGTAGTCCCTTTCTCAGGGCCGACTCCGGTTCCGGGTATGGTGTCCCTTTCTTAGGGCTGTATGACCCGTGCTGTAAAGCACGTCATGAAACTTGACAGGTAACGCCAGCTCAATGAAGGAGCAAGTCGAGACATCACCATGATTAGGCACGGTGCTTTCGCTTGCGCGTACCTGCACCCCCACCACCAGCCTGGTCAGAGGAGCGATGCTGCTGTCGACGCTGCTGACGCATGGCATCCTTGTGCTTCTGCTTGTAACTCTGTGTGTTGCAGGAACAGGATACAAACAACGATAGAACAACATCAAACTTACATACATAAATGCAGATAGATGCAGATGTCTGACAATAATATTATTGGTAAAACCGTGAAACTCAGAGTCACGGCAGAAACGCTTCGTTTCCTTCTTTCAAGTTTGCGTACATGCAGGTGCGTAAATGCATGTGCGTAAAGGCATCACACGCACGAACGCACACACACACACACACACAGATAAAATATAATGTCCCATAGCGATGAGACTGCCAAAGTGCCCAGTAGTCGGTGCAGTGCATGATTCCGGGACACCTGGACATGAGAAGTAGATCTGTTGCGTGTCCCACTATCCCCATGTAGTTACTTCTTGTCAGATATAAGAGCTTGCTTTGGTCGTGTGTGAGTCTCGCCCAATACTATCGGGCATAAGTACACCCACAACATGCACACAAGCACGTACAAACTACAAACAGCCAAATGCACATAATGGAAAAGCTTCTTTTCGTTACCTGGGTCAAGAAATGCCGGTTCTCTTTCCACTGCTCCTCTATCTCTTCCACCGTGTTAGTCCGTCTAAATCTGGACAGCGCGGCTGAGCAGAATGACACAATAAAAAGCACAGCAGCAGCAGCACACACACACACACACACACACACACACACACACACACGCACACACACACACACACACATGCACACACACACACACACACACACACACACACACACAC